CTCTATATAAGCTGACGCCCTAGCCGCCACAGTATGCGCTGCGACTTGTCCTTTGCCGCGTCTGCGTCTCTTCCTTCGCCGCGCGACGGGTCTCTTGGGGGACACCTCTGCCCAGTCACAGAGGTAGACTGATGATAAGCCGAGAACAGAGTTGTGAAGTCCATTAGCTTCAAAAATGAACTCTTGGAAAGGAGTTTCTATACTTGTTAACTTGTACCTTTCTGAAGTTTCGTTGAACATTATCTGCGCGGTATGTTCGCTTTGCATAGAAGACTTATGCTCGTTGATTACAACAGTGGCCGAGCTGTTCCGTGGTGGCTCGCCGCCATCCACAGCAAATACGCGGAATTCGGCAGAGATGTCCTGAAAATGGCTTGGTTTTAGTGCAACGATTAAGAAGAGTAGTTAGGTGGTATCTCCATTTCAAACAAAGACACTTAATAAGACTATCGTGAACCACTTCACTGCTAGTTCAACCCAACCTCTTAAAGATAGCATCGTAATGAGTTGATGTCGATAAAGGTGAAAAGAGGAAAGCCAAGTTGGCCGCCAGCCACAAACGATTGAAAGCTTGAGGAAGAACTTATTTTTTCAACTTGTTTTTAATTATTAATGCTGTTTCTGGCAGCAGTTCTTCTTTCATCCGCTGACTTCAGGAGTGAAGAAATTAACTGGGGCATAAAGACCGCTACGGCGAAGATGAACACTGGTATCATGCTACTGACGATCGAAAGGCAGCTCCCATTCAGTTCGATGGTCCATTGCACAATAGTGCACTCATAAGAGAAGAGGAAACGCTCACTGCATCCCGTTCCAGGTGCAATGCGTTATCATGCCCTACACGTGCGGTTGGGGGCGTGTACGAGGTGGGTAGAGGCTGCTGAGCATGGTCAACCGTGCGTTGGCTGTATTCTAAGGAGAAATCGCATTTGTGGTTTTAGGAAGGGGGTCGCATTTCAAGGGTGGAGTGGGATAAGTGGGATTAGCAATTTGTGGAATTTGTGGATAGGTGGGAGTAGATAAGAAAATTTGTCGTTTCATTGCACTAATATACCCCCATCAAATGCTATAGAAATAGCCACGATGGTGACGGTGGTGGTCCGAGCAAGGAAAAGGTTGGCAGTATTGGGGTAGCCTCCTGAGTCTCATGGTGGTGGTAGGGTCGCATCGAAACTTTTTTCGAAAAATTTTGAAAACGTGCAATCGTCACGGGACCCTGGTGCTGAGGTATCATCGGCGTCGATAGTACTTCTTCTGCCGCGAAAAAGCCACCTATCGTCTACTTTCACACGCCTGCACCCTTCCCACTACCAATTTTTCCCCTTTATGAACACCCAAATTATAGCTATTGCTGCCCTTAGAAGCCCTTAAGCGAAAGTAGAGAAGCTATAGTGCTGAATAGCTTTATATCAGTCATTATTCAATATCTCACCTTACTCAAAACACCTTCGCCCGCATAGATCACCTCGCCACTGTCAGAAATCCTAAAACGTGGGTCTTCAGAGACGTACACTATGGCATTGTTTGGCGCGGTAGCGTCAGCGTCATCGGCCTGAACCGCTCCGATCACCTAAATTGATGTGTTGCTATAATCATCTACTACAAAACATTCAAATTCAATGGTATGTACATCAATGAACTGCAAAGGAGCACTGTAATGGGAAAAGAAGACAACTGTAGAAGAAAAGTCAGGATTCCACTACCACTATCTGAAAAGGGCTAAAAGCTAAGCTGGTGTAATAAATATTCTTATATAAAAAATTTTCTATGCTCAAGTGGTCCCTGGAAGGAGTGCAGTCATTCAGAAAGATTTTTCGAGCAAGAGAGAACCGCAAAAAAGCTGAACAGCATATCATCGTCGAAGTAAGGATTAAAAAGCCGAAAAATCTCATAGATGAGTCCGCCTTCATTTTTATGGTAAGAGTGCGCGTTTCTATTCTTCTCACTTTTTTTTCTCAGCGCAAGTCTCCCAGTGAGCTTTTTTATTCATATACACAAAATAATACAAAAAAAAACAAGCGAAACGAGCAATCAGTTCAATAGCGCACCGCTGTATTGATAGCCCCCATTTAGCGAACTATGCTACCTTCTAGCGGGCTTTATCTACGGTATTTCAAGGTAGTCAAAGGGTCTAATTAAATACTAGAGTAAGGAAATTCTAAGGCAATCCGGAAATAGCGATAGTGAAAAAAGGCGAAAGGCAATTGTAGTAGAAGCTTTGAGGTAAATTGGACACATTTGGCTCTAAAAGTTGTATCAATGCTAAATCAAGTAATCTGTATCAGTGATAAAGTGCTAATCAGTAGAAGAGAACTTACCCCGCCTGGACTGATATTCGCGTCCAATACCAAGGAATAGCGTGAGTTAGTGAATGAAGGCCAGTTATCGTTAATGTCCTGAAATTTATCATCAAGTAGCATTTATTCTACAGCTTTCTGGTATTCGAACAGATTTTTTTTTATCTGTTGAAGTTGTGATTTCAACGATTGAAAATAAATAAAGATGAACTATGGTTTTGCCCTCCCCAACGAATTTAACAACAAGCTATCGATTCAAATAGTTGATTTGTTCGGTTTTTCCAAGCAGTATTCAACTGCGATTCAATCATAGCATTACGTTTGTGATCGTCTCTTGCCTCCAACCGGCTCCATGGAAAAGCTCACCGGCGGCGCGGACGCGTTCGCGTGTTGGTGACGTCACAGGCGGCAGGGAGAGAGCAAGGGCTAGCTCTGCCACCATTACTTCAATACATTGAGTATTCCGAGAGAATATCGTACTCTTGCATCACTGAGTAATAAGTGGAAGTAAGTAGGAGTCCAGCTTTGAGCACAGACTCATTTTAAAAACTTCAACATGACTGTGTACTCCTTGGATTTGCATCTGGAAGCCTCGACTTCCTCCGCATTCGCAAAAAACCCCAACTCCTATTGCGAGGATGTTACCCGTACATAACAAAACATTTCGGGTACCCGACAGGAGGCCCATCGCGCGGCAAGAAGGCAGAGTCGCGGACGAGTTGCAGCGCGTGATGTGCGATGTAGGACGTGCATGGTACATTCTATTTAACTTGACGCGAATCACTACAGTACGCGCTGCGACTCGTCCGCTGACTCTGCCTTCTTGCCGCGCGACGGGCCTCCTGTCGGGAACCCAAACATTTCTCTCGCGCCACAATTAATTGAACAAGTTGGTATAGTGCCAGAAACCCGGCACTGTTTGGACGAAGTGGCAGCGGCGCTGGCCACTGCTTGCCCTTCCTTTGAGCCTGCCGCAGCTGCGACGTCATTTTGACGTCACCAGCACGCGCTCGCGTCCGCGCCGCCGGTGAACTTTTCTGGCCCCCTCCCCTCCACCCCGGAACCGCCATTCATGATGGCTGAAACTACTCCCACGAGCCGGGGACCATCCACGAGCAACTTCTCCAAGTACTGAACATTTTTATTCAGAACGAGGCTTGTCTTGCAGCACATTTATGACCTCACGCATATGATACTGTACCTTCACGTTGATGGTGACATTGGTGACAGATGTCCGTGGTGGATGTCCACGATCAGTTGCACGAAGCACGAATCGAACTGAATCACTGTCCATGGTGTCACGATCGAGCTTGCCAATGAACAGAATTCCAGCAGATGCCTCCACGGCTAAGCCTTGAGGCACGTTCTCCAGAGTATAGACAATCTCACCGTTCTCACCAATATCAGGGTCGGATGCCTGTAGATACAACTTAAAGATAGTGAGCGATTGAATTCGGAATGAGTTACCTCGAGCTTTTGCTTCAATGTTTTTTCCTCTTCAATTTCAATCAGATATTCGGAATGTTCGAAAGTTGGAGTGTTGTCGTTGATGTCTCGAACAACAACTTTCCCTGGACAATCCGTTGACTTCCCTGAAAAAAAGATTTCTTCACATGAATCCCGCTGGAAGAGCAAAGTATGATGCTCAGAGAGCGACCGTGAAATTTGGGCACAACAATAACCTCACCTCCTGCATCGGTGGCTCTCACTGTGAGCTCAAATTTGTCATGCTCTTCCCGATCGATGGGCACCAAGGATCGGAACTCGCCTTCTTCCGAAATCGCAAACAGCTCTGCGCCCTCTCCATGAATACTGTACCGGATAGGTGAGTAGATAGCAGAGTCAGCATCGGTTGCCTAAAGAACGAGTGTTAGAGCAGTGAGAAAGGCGTATAGCATACATTATACGAAGTTATACGAAATCGCAGCGGGTTGCCGGGAGAGAGTGTTAGAAGGAGTGAGACAAGGTTGCTTTCCGGATATATAAAGCGCTAATAACAGCATTTCTATACAATCCATCCATACTCTCTTAGTACACATGATTAGAGATGGAGAAAAAATTTCGAAGAAAACTTCTCCGCAAATGCAAAAGCGTCAGCTTCTATCACCACGAGAGCCGGGTACCCGAAATATGGCACCAATCCATAAATCACAAATACGTTCCCCTCATGGAGAATTTCTCAACGAACTCTTGACCTGATCCAGAGTTGTCTTTTGATTAACTCAGCTATGTTTTAGGCACGGCATGAGAAGTAATGATACGTCAGTTAGAAGTAAAAGCGATGGCGACAAACGATTCTCTAAAAGGTTATGGTGATACTTCAAGAAATGTCCGCGGAAATGAATTGGTTTATAGCTAGTTTTTATTGCGCGAGAAATACATTAACACACAGTTTCGAACAAAAGCGTAGCTGGAAATAAGCCACATTCATTAGCCTACGTTTCGCTATTCGCTTCCATTATAGCGGCTGGTCGAAGATAAGGTTACTATTGCTTCTATGGTCCTTTATATTTTACTATATTTCTGCGACATCTTCAAAGTCACGGTAACAGGAGAGCAAGATGTTGTGGGGTTCACACGTGAATTTACAGCCTCTAGTGGGCGCTGCGGTCCTGCGTCGTGAGTCGACCGGGCCAACCAAGCCTCCCATTCCTCTGCGGGTCGGTTAAATATGGACGGACGTCGGGGGATAAAAACTTGAACTGTACATCGGGCTGGTCCAGCAAGTCTATGTACATGCTAAGGTATTATTATTATTATTACTATTATTATTATATTATTATTATTATTATTATTATTATTATTATTATTATTATTAATTATTATTATTACTTATTATCGGCTATAAGCACAACACAACATAAAACATTACATTACATAGCAATTTCCGATAATGCATGTGAGATGGTCGATGAATAATGTTATGTCGCACAGAAGATGGCAGTTTTATGGCGGAGTCAACAACTAAGCCTACTTGAAGGTTATGAGGTATATAGTAGGGAGCATGTTTCGAGATAAACTCCGGAAACAGATGATACAAAGAGATAAGTTGTATTGTTTCATCCCATAAACAAATTAAATAAAATAATTAAACAAGTGGTAAAAATCGATATGCCAAAATGCTTACCGTGACCTCTCCCAGAACCAACTGGTTTGTGATTTTCGGTGACATAAAAAGTGAAGGTGTCGTGAACGCATTTCGGAGCGTTATCGTTCACGTCTATGACGTCAACGTTGATTTGACATCGTCCGGATAGTGACGTCACCTGGAGTTTTGTGGAGGGGATTACATCCAGGATAATCAGTACACGAGCGTTAATTAGAAGCTCGAAGCTTTTCGTTTTCGTATCATCAAAGCCAACGTTCGACTGCGCGACGATTCTGATAGCAACGTTTGTACTGGAGAGCACACACCGAACAACCAGCAGTATAGTTCTGTATCGACACCAAACGCTGAATAGCCGCCCTCGATGTGAAGGGTAGATGGATCCTGAAATAAACATATTACTGAATGATTTGTAGTAGCAGTTGATTAGTTATGATAGTTTCCAGGTCTATCGACGGGCTGCGGGAGACCCGAAAAGTGTTGCAGCAGAGGGTAAATAAACGTCGAGGAAATCTTTCGACAGGCGGCTCGGATTGCGTCCGATGACTGTTGAGAGGGAGGTCGTTATCAAAAGTTCATCAACCCGGGTCGACGCAGATTTCTCGCGAACTAGAAAGCGTTTTGAAACAAATGGAGCACCTGTTAGAAAGCGTGAATCTTCTACTTTACAACGCTTTCCTCGGATTTTCAAAGCATTGCCAATGAAGACAGCTACTGTCTTCCTAAGAGTGGGAACTCGCATGTAAATTTCAATTTCCTCGACAATTTCTCGACGTCTCCCACTCTCGAGAAATAGGTGTGCTTAGAAAAAAGCTCAGCACAATTTAGAAACTAGAAGTCATGTGCATTCAAAGCGTGCCTGTCACTTGGTTGTGTGATTGTGTGGTGACAATGGATAATAATACTTCCTTGAATAGGGGAGGTACAATTTGCACGATAATTTTTCCAACTAGCGGGCTCTCGGACAGCCCCGACGGCGATCGCGCGATGGTAGGTTGGGCCGCCAATACTGAGTTGGGTGATTGACTGTTAAGTGTGTCAGCGGTACTGAGTATCAATGTTCCGCACTTCGGCCATGTGGGCAGGTGATTGTCTTTGTAGGGTGGGATATTGAGTGCTGAGATCTAGCATTTGGATCGCCGCTATTGGTTGGCGCGGCACTGCTTCCCTAGCACATCTCGAATACTAACATTTTTTGAGTATGCAATTCGGAGATGCAAGAGGGCAAAAAGGCGGCGCGGGACGCCGGGTGTTCAGAGTTTATGTTTGGAGGAGGGGTGTGATTAAAGAGACGAGTGTGTGTGGAACAGCGATCACCCGGATGGGCAGGGCTACACTTTTGATGCGGTAGTGAAGAGCACCTCAGAAAAAACGCTGACAGACCCGACCTCACAAAATTGATGTGCCCTTGATGCGAATTGTACCTGTGCGGTTTCGTTCGATTAGCGCCATCAGCAAGCAATATAGCTGTGAATCACTACCGTGCAACTTTAGTGCCAGAGGCGCGATAGTTTTCTGTGTATTAGTTGGTCCAGGAGACTGACTTGGTAGTGATCATTGGTCCAACATAAGCGGTAACTTAACATTGTTCCAGAAGCTACGAAATTCGCCCGGAAGTGGGGACCCTCAGCTCAGTGAGCCCACATAGCCAGATTTACGTTCACTCCTTCCCCTCCCTCCCACGCTCCACGCGGTTCTCGAGTTTCTCTTGCCAGACGATTGGAGAGTGCTCGACATCACCTCAGCAATAACTAGTGAGCCAATACAGCTTTTATCTTTTTAAATTCAAAGAGACAGAGAAGCGATTAATTCGGTTACAGCTAATTTACCTAAATTTGTAATGATTTGCAGACTTTTATGTTTTATCTGTTTGTTCAATTTTACGTCTCATTTCTTTATGTTGTTTTTAGAAATAATCCCCCTGTTGGGCCTGCGATGCGGAAGAGTTGGAACTCGGCAAGTTGGCGGACCTACTAACAACATTTTGATAATGTGCTAAGAATAAGAGGGTTCGTTTCGCTCTATTCTATAAAAGTAATTGGCTTTATAGCTCTAAGTCCGGTATCGGAGCTTCTGCGTCGCCGCTTCCGCAGGAGCTACTGGCAGTTTGGCGGCACTGCCTTCTCGCTGACTTTCCACTCCCACGCAGCTTCCACCATTGCTACTCCATTTAATTCCGAGTTTTTTACTTGTTTCTGTTTCTGTCTTGATGTTGTGTTCTTACTAATGATACCCGATAATAAATCACAAATCATAAATCTTTTTGATTCCTCGGATTTTTGGCTTAATCAGTAAAATGCGCGGACTCGTTTAAAGGAGACACGATAAGGAAAGAATTCGGAGGAAGAACGGTGACATTTATCTAGTGGAGACAATCGGACCCCTAGGTGGGGACCGCCCCCCCCACCCTGCCGATCTAACAAGGGCCTTCCCTGTGGCGATTTGGCGCAGAACGCCCATCGGTATTCTATCACTAGTCAGTTAGATTACACGGCGAATGATTAAGGTGATTACGAAGTAGCAAACCAGCCCTTTCGGCGTTTCTGCTGGGGCCATATGCTGAATTTTGGGGAGGAGATGGGGTCCCCGAGCTCGACGGGACTACTTGAACTCGGTCGGTACGGTAGGAGAGTGATGACGAAGTGGTGCAGCTAGGTCCAGCAGCTCCGCCAAAGGGGCTGGCTTGCTTACCCGGACTATGCTGGGAGAGAAGGCATGCTGCGGCTCCTTGAGGTTTGGGCGCTCTTCTAGAAGGCTCATGCACTGAGTAAACATTGATTGAGGCGGTGGAAGGACCGACTTGAGTAGTCCCTTGACGATGGGAGACCCATCCAATGCCAACATGGCGGCTACGGCCCCAGCAGAACGCAAACGGGTGGTTCGCATTACTTCCTTGAGAACGTAGCAGAGGAGCGTGTGTTGAAGGAGGCAAACGATGAGGTAGTTCATGCGGTAATCAAAGAGCAAGAAAGGTCCTATTCTGGAATTCATCGCTAATTTCACATGATTTTTTCATCCTGCCTCCCTCCCACTCGTTCCTTATTTTCCAATGAGCTACTTTTCATTCTACCGGCTTTTAATTCGACTAAAAATGTAGCCTGCTGGTCATAAGAGTAAGGTCGCCACTGAAGCACCAGTAATATCAGCTTTCGCCCAGTTCGCGGCCATACGAATGTGAGAGGATAGCGAAACTCTTGCTTAAATAAGAAAAAATACACGGGTGGAACCGTTGATTGGACCTTGGCTGCCTCGCTTTTTTATTACTTTCAAAGATTAAAGAACGACAGGTCACGTAAAGAATTTACACAGAGGGCGTGAGCTAATGCATTGCGCCGTTTGCGAAATTGTCTAAATGAGAACAAAGAGGTCAAAGCGTTCGCAAAGCAGTTAAGATTCTCATCTATCAGCCTTGTTCCATAGGGAAATGGCTATGCAAGTGAACTCGTTATAATAAGATTTCAAGAAGCAATATGAGAATTATCATACAAAAACCTACCGTAGGCTTTGACAACCGGATCACTAATGGCTCTTCAAAGTCCGGTTCTCCCTCTTTGATCGTAGCCAAGTACACTTTGCCATTGCAGAGATCGCCGTTTACCTGAAATATACTTTTGTCAAATTTAAAAGAACAGTTTAAGTATAACAGTATGCTGCTGAAAAACGCACTTGCTCTTCGGCAACGTCTCGCTGTTGAGCTCGAACGCGCAGTTCTTCCACTGTCTCCATTCCTTGCTGACCATCCTCCTTCGCCTGAAAAATCGATTTCCTTTGAAATACTCCTAGTTCTATGGGTTAAACTGCAACTTTTTTTGGCGATTGAAGACAATGTGAGGAAAAAGTGGGCTATAAGTAGCACAGCCATAGAGGAGCTTCGCTCATTTCCGCAGGAAGAATGCCTGCGAAATTTTGATTGAGGACTCTACAAGGGAGGTCTTTCAGGGCAAGGTGCGCTTTTTCAAAACGGTTTTGTGCATATTGTAGGGACGCATGTAGGGAACGCAAAACCATGTTTCATTTTCGCTGAACGGTTATAGCAGTACCAAAAAAGAAGCATAAGGTACTGTTAAGGGTTCGATCCCCCGTGGCGACTAAATTTTGCATTTGGGTTGGCGCCTACGGTTTGGTGCCAAATCGCGCTAAATATCAAAATCAGATGTCAAATTCATCGTCAGGACCATTTTGAAGCCAACAAGTGCCGCCAACCTTAGATGCAATTTACGTAGACCGAACGGAAACTGATCTCAAGACGTATTATTTTCACCACCTTTTTTGTACTACTAAACTGATTCAGCAAAACAGGAAACGTAGTTTTGTGGGGTCATTACATGACGTGTCCTGCACATCACTAAATCGTTTCCAAAGAGCTCACGTTGCCCTGAAAGACCTCCCTTGTAAGTGCCTATCGCGCGTAGCGACTAATAACTAGAGATTCTGAAAAAGAGGGCTTCTGCTCGACTTCTGCCCGAGTCCGAATTGAATTAGTTTAATACGGAGCAATCGGACGTTGATTCGTTCGTCTGTAACTGGCTATCCACTCGACCCATGACGGTGTTCGATCGTCGGGTCTACATTTGGCCAGCCCGTTTCCTATTGCACATAATTTAATTGTGTAATCAAAAGCTGTTCGATGCGGCATAGGCAAGGAGCGGTAAAGTGTGAATGAAGTGTTATTGAATATTCCTTCAGAATTCTTGTTCATGCAAGGGGGGTCTCTCCACTTAAAGCAAGGTCCAGGATTCATTAAGGTGATGGTTAAATTCTACTCGTAGGGATGCGAAGTGATTCGAAGTGAGAGAAAAGCGTTAAGAAATCTTTCAAAATTGCGGAAAATTACGAACCTCTTTGCTTCCGCTGTGGGCTTCTAAGGAAGCACATGCGATTAAGAGATAGTGTAATTCGCAAAGAGGGCAGGAAGTACAGGTCGAAAGACCATAACGCGTCGTGCACCGTTGGCGGGCGGTCGTGTTTTTCGCTGTTGTGATTATCACGTTTTTTTTCACTATTTTTTGCATCGCTGCTTATAATTTTCTTCCCCTACGAGTCTTTTAGTTGGACCTCTACATTTCTCGTCCTAGTTGTGTCACCCTCGACTTGGCGATCCTTTTTTGAAGCTTTGCTATTTGTGATTTTCATTGCGGGAATCGATCCGATCAATTTAAGAGCGCGTCGGGTTCAAAGTCCAAAAAAGTGTCTATCAAAGATCATTTGAAGGGCATATAGTTAGCGCTCATAATGGCAGTAGTCACTCGCAGCAAAACTTATGGTTCTCAATCTCAGTCTACTTCTTCGTCCAAACTTTTGCTGCTTAGAAGACAAGTGGGAAGTGAACTATTAAGTCAAATGTCTGTGGCATGATGCTGCATTTCCGCGCATTAGTGAGATCAAACAAGACGGTGATCTTCAGAAAATGATGGGGGCAGTGAACTGGTCTGAGAAAATCCCAAAAGATATCTCTGCCTCTCTAGCCGAGGAAAAGAGATCGCGCAGCATCGTTTTCGCCGGTATTAAGGAGAGTGAAGGAGATCTCCCTCCTTCCAAACGTCAGGCTCAACTGGAGCATAACGTTTCAGAGCTACTAGATGCTCTTGACGTTGAGTGTAAGCCCTGCGAGATCTTCCGCATGGGCAAGGTTGAGCCCGGTAGACCACGGTTAGTAAAGGTTGTGCTACCAACAGTGGCTCATTGGCGCAGAGCGTTGGGGAACGCTAGGAATCTCCGTCTAGTCGGCTTTTCCGATATTTTTGTGCGGCGAAGCATGACTAGGGAGGAGAGAAAGCAGGATTACGAGCTCAGGCAGATCGCTCATGAAAGGAATATGGGCAAAAAAACAAAGGAGTGGGTCGTTTTCAGAGGTCAACTTAAACATGTCTCTGAATTACCCACCAGGAATCAGGGAAACGCGTAGATCCGCGAGGTCAGGCATGTCCTCTTTCCTGTTTTCTATTTAACTCTCGCAGTCTGACTAACAAATTGCATCACCTGCAGCTGTTCCTCATTGAAAAGAAACCAGACCTAGTTTTTGTGACCGAGACGTGGTTAAAAACTGGTGTTGTTGATTCTGAACTTTTGAGTCATTTACCATATAGTGTGTACCGGTGTGATAGGACCAGACGTAAGGGCGGTGGCGTCTGCTGTATTTTCAAGAGTACTTTCTTACTGCAAGTTATTCCTCATGATTACGATTTTAATTGTGATGTACTCTGCGTTGATCTGATTTGCCCCACGAAGCTGTCCTGCATCAGATTTGTTGTAGTATATCGCCCACCCAATTCTATCAAAAAAGATGATGACGACTTAATTGATTTGCTCACCTCCCTAGCTTCCTCTAGGCAAGATACCATTATTCTCGGAGATTTTAATCTCAGGGTCGACTGGAATGGCCCCACCCCCTTAGATGCTTCCTCGGGAAATTTCCTAAGGTTTTTCTCGCATTCTGGCTTGAGTCAACTAGTGAACCATCCTACGCATATGGGTAACACTCTGGATCTCATCTTAACGTCATCTCCCATTGTGCGGAACGTTCACAGCCTCCCCCCTATTAGTACATCTGACCACACAACTCTTCATTTTGTTGTTGATTCTGTCATTTCATGCGGTCCTGAGCTGGTACCCAAACCGGATTTCCTAAATGTTGACTACACTTCTCTTAACACAAGTTTTAATAAAGTCAAGTGGCTAAGGGAATTTGATGGCTATGTTTCGGCATCCGACTTGTATGGCAGATTTTGCTCAATTGTATACGAGAAGCTATCTTTACATGTTCCTATGAAGACTCCTCAGGCCCCCTTCTTAAGATTTCCCACACAGATCCGTAATCTGCTTTTGCAAAAAGAGCGAATATTTCTAAACTCCTCCAATCCAATGAATGACAGTCTATATAAGAAAGTATGTTGCGACATTAATTATCATCTCAAAAAGTTTTGGGCTCATCGCGAACGGCGTTTGGCATCACTATCTTCTTCAAAGCATCTTTTCGCTTACATAAATAAGAAAATGAAATGTTGTCCCCGCTTACCCCTAATTGTTGACCAAAATGGAATAGCATGTCATTCAGAAGCCAGCAAGGCTATCGCCTTAGGCGAGTTCTTCGCGAGTGTTTTTTCGAAACAAGGTTCCTCTGGAGAAGATTCATCTAATGAACCATTGGCTGGTGTTGCTAGCGATTCACCCGCCCAGCGACTTTGTGATAATTTCTACTTTTACCCTTCTGACATTTGCAAACTACTCAGACGTCTCAAACCTTCTACAACAGAACCTTACGATGGGATACCCCCTATTGTCTTCAAAAAATGCGCTTCTTCGCTATCTAAGCCTCTGGCACACATCTTCAACGTTTCTTTTATGTTGAGCGAGGTTCCTCAGATCTGGAAAGAAGCGCTGATTACGGCTATCCCCAAAATTTCAAAGGCGCAGTCCGTATCTGAATTCGACCAATAAGTATTACACCCACTCCAGTTAAAGTGATGGAAAAGTTGATAAGAGAGAAAATGTTGACCTGGTGTAGTAAGTTCAATCTTATCCCACCAGAGCAACACGGCTTTCTTCCAGGAGCTAGTACCACCACCAATCTGGTTGATAGCTTGTTTGATTGGAAACTCGCCTTGGATCGCGGTGAATCTGTCGATGTTGTTTATGTTGACTTGTCGAAGGCATTTGATAAAGTCAATCATCAAAAACTGCTACTGACTCTCAAAAGATTAGGAATTGGTGGTCGTCTAATAAAATGGATTGAATCGTATTTGTGTGTGATCGATATATGACTGTCAGAGTAGGTTGTGGTTACTCCAAGAGACATCATTGCACGAGTGGTGTGCCCCAGGGTGGTGCTCTATCTCCACTTTTGTTTCTTTTATATACAATTGAGCTACCACAGCTTCTCAAAACCTCACTAAATATTAGAGTGCAGGTTTACGCGGATGATGTGAAGATATATGGTTGCTACAACGAAAACAATCGTGACGAGGTCTCTAGAGCTCTTGAACAATCTATCGAGAAGCTTGATGAGTGGGCTAGGAATTTTGACTTAATGGTCAACTTGAGTAAATGTTTTGTACTCCACATTGGTGACGGAGTAGCTCGAGATTACTATGTCAATGGTGTTATGCTGAAGAAATGTGATAGTGTTTTAAAGACTTGGGTGTTTTAATTGATGGCCGCTTGAAGTTTTCCACTCATATCGAGAATGTGATCAGTAAAGCTTACAGTTCCCTCTTTACCATCTTTCGGAATACACATAGTGATGTACCAGATATACTTACTCGTCTATATCGAGCTTATGTTATGCCTTATTTGGAATATTGTTCCCAAGTTTGGAACCCGACTCTTAAAAAGGACATTCTTAAGCTCGAAAGAGTACAAAACACGTTCACAAGACTGGTTTTCCTCCGGGTCAATAAGAGCTCACGCGAGCGTGTTCTCCCCAGCCATGGCGAGCGATTAGAACGATTGGGTCTAACAACACTACGGTACAGAAGGATTCTTTCGGATCTTGTATTTGGTTTCCGAATTTTTCGTAGAGAATTGAAAATGCTCCCCAGCAAGTACTGGGTCTTTAGACCAAGCAGTGAGAGGGGGAACGGTTTTAGTTTGGACTATGTAAGTTTTCATAACAGAAGTTCAAATCAGCTGTTCAACTTCTCTTCTCTACCGTATAGCCAGATGGTTTCGACGTCTTCCCAGGGAGGTGTTATGTTCTGAGAATAGCCGAGTTTTCAAAAGTAGGTTAAAGAAGTTAGATTTATTCGAAGTTCTAGGTGTTGAAGATTTTGCCTGACAGAATCTTCAGCTCCCGCATCCAATACCTTTCCATGGTTTCTTCTTTTCCTCTTTTTTCAGGCCAGCAGCACACTTCGCACTTTTTCTTCCATAGAGGGCAGCCGACGTTTTTTTTGTGTCTTCTCCTATCAGGATATGCTGAGTGTTTCTCATATACTAACAATACCGTTTGTTTCATGTCTATTTGCCTTAGACGACGTTTCCCCTATCTCACGGCTGCAGCGCATAACTTCGAGTCGTATCTGGGCTATTATTTTCGCACTAGTCTCAAAGATTCAATTTTAAGAGACTTTTTTGTCTGTGCTTTTTCCCATCCAGTCACCTAGGCTTACCTGAAATTGAATATAATTTTATGTCCACAAGTCGGTGCAGGTCAACAAGTATTCTGGTTGAACACTTGGGCCTAGGTCTTACGCCCTGGGTTCGTATTTAGATCAAAGAGGCACCTATTTTGGCCCGCCCGGGAACGACTACGGTCGGTTGCGTTGCCTAGGCTGACTTTGCACCTTGCTGTACTACGCATTTAAACAGTTTCGTTGAGAGGCCTATGCACTTGATGCAGTCTTCTCAACACTTCAGGTATACACGGGTGACTGATGGTGCGTTGCGTTCTTGGTGTCTTGCGTTTTTGTCCGTTAGCCGGATGGTTGCTTGCGTTTTGATCAACTGGCATGGAACTCTGGCTTCTTCATAATGACGACTCGTTGTCCTCAGCTTTAGCCGTCTAGTTAGGGGTATGTTGTCTGCCGGCAGTAGCAGTTTGGTACTTGGTACTTGGTTTCATTTAAATAACTGCCTAATGTGTTTTGTTTTGTTCCTTCGTTTATGTTATGTTCGACTAACACGAGTTTTGGCTTTGTTGGGCGCACCAAAAAGTGCAGTTTAATAAATAAATAAATAAATAAATAAAAAATAAAGGTTACTTC